ATTTATATACATCCCCGTATCATCGGTCCACTGATGTGGCCCTTCGTCACATTCGTGGACCGATGATACGGAGTTGTGATGGAAGTGATTACATCGACCTTATTTGTCACGCATATCTTCCAGGGCGTATTTTAAGCAGACCAAATTTCTTAGTGTCAAATTTGAACGCTTGGCTTTAATCAATATTATATTCGATTTTGAACAATGAAGTCGTCGGCTTAACATGATGAGTAAGGAATAGGTAAATCCGTGACAAACCAATTGGCTTGATATGATAGTATAAATCATGTAAACATTACTTTCAATACAATATGATTGGATGTTGTCATATAAACAAATGCATGGACCCGTCGTCACCCCTTCGACCACGCGAGTTCCTTGTATAATCACGCCATGAAAACATTTCCTCTAGGCGTGACGTGGTGTAGTGAATTTTCTTGCGACTAAGCTTGGCCAAGGTGTAGACCGCTGCTTGGTTGAGAAATACGGCCGGTCCAGCTAATGTGAGACGTGGTCCGTGTAGCTAGATAGTTATGAAAACTGAGATTAAATATCCGCGTACAGCTAGGTAATGCATGTGTAACTACAAATATCTACTTGATGTAGTCGCTCACGCTATAATGAGTCCGCCCGTATGAACAGTCTTAGGTATGTAGTAATCAAGTCAAATGAACAGTAAAGTAGCAATGAATTAACACATCAATTTTAAAAGGTTGGCTACGAGGCATTACATGGTGGTGATATTTGTATGCAGGGTCCAGCGCCAAAGAGTATTTTGGCTTCGAGAAAGTGTAATGGTGATTGCTTTGTACAGTGGCATTCTTCCTGCAGAGCCATGATATCGTATAAAGCGTAGCAGCCAAGGTATGCAATTATTTATAGATGATAATGGTGGTGTAAAAGCGACGATTGGTGCCTAATTGTGCGTGTCAAGATCTAGCTGATCCATATATTCGCTAAGTTTTAAATTTCGCCAGGAATAAATGCTGAGAGAAGAAGAATTTGTTGCCAAGTGTTCAAAGTAGCTAGTATTCTAAGTAGTGACAGAAAGACGGCCACTATGCTACGACAGTGACAGAAACTGCTTTGACCCGATTGTAACACGTGGAGAGAGTTGTGAAGAATTCAACGATAAAAAACACTTTGGCTTTGTTACCTCTCACACAAGCTTAACCTTTTCGCGTGTAAACGATCGATGGAACCGAATCCAATAAATCTGATAGTCGAATTATATTCAGCTTTACGTTTGTATCAAGCTGACGTCGATGGAGCCTGTACTGTTGTATTGAGAACTAGCTTCCGTCCTTAAAGTAGTTGTTAAAAATGACGTTCACTATCCTCTTTATAAAACTTCCACCTTCGTACTACACGTATTTGGTGTCGTCTCTTACATTGTACCACATCAACCTCACTCTTGGACCCTGCATTCTGTTTACGTCAACAGCTGCTTCACATACTCAATTTTCACATTCACGGGGCATCTGTTGCAGATTTTCATCGTGTGCGATGGACACTCACCCTTCAGCTTATCCAGTTGATGGAGTTCTCGTCGCCCTCAAGCATACTTCACACAGCGTGTACTGGTTATGGGAGGGCGATGCTGTTGTCAAGATGACAGATTTGATAAGACTGTTCAAGAGTAACATCGGAGATCTTATATGCTAGCTGAATGTATGATAAACTGAGGGTCACCAAGCTTTGGTATAATAAGTAATACATACGCTCGTGTAGGGCCGCACGTATGTAGAAGTAAATCGCTACCAAAGAGCAAGAATTACCCGTGAAGAACTTGGAGACAGCCGCGTACTTAATACGTGGGACTTCTGATAGACGTGACGTCTCAAGATATGTCGATGGGTTTAGAAGTGTAAGTAAATTAGCATGTACAGATACTTCTCGACTGCCTGATTGAGTGTAAGAAGGTTGATGATTCGATAAAAGTCGAGCTTACGCACAATCCGAGCAAGAATGAAGATTGACGCTAGGACCTCTTGCACCTTCAGCAATGAATCGTGTTTACATGGAAACTGTCTTAGCCTAGACATAAAGCACACCAAGTCAGATACGTTCTAATCGAATGAACCGCGATGTTTGTGTATATATTCAGACGAACTAAAAGACACATAAAGTCACCTCATTCAACGGATATACACTCGCCCAACGTGTTCCACCGACAGAACTTTTCATCATCATTAGCAGCATTGTATTTGGTAACTTGAAAGCTGCAATTACCCTATAGCTACTGTGCGCTTGTCAAAAAAGGCTATATAACCGAAAATCTCAAAGCAAACGTTCTACTATTCACCTCTTCTAACTTAAAAATACGAATAAGTCATTGTAATGGAGTACGTTTTACTTGTAATGACGCATACAAACAAGACTTCCACACTGACACATTGTACGCAGATGCCTCAACTATTCACCTACACTGTACATGGAAAGTAAGGCTAATCTCACGACGAACCCGAATCGAAGAAGAAAACGTAGACCTTTATTTGTTAACGCTAACTTTTGTATTAAAACCTCTTTTGGAATCACTTAAACCGAATTATAATGCAATGTCTTGATGTGGCTACTCGCTTACCACCCATTGAACCTATCTAGCAACGACTGGTGGTATAGTAGGCTGATGTTATGGCCTAAAAAACATATAAATGAAGCGGTGCCGAAAATATGACGGTAATATTTCTCGTACTCTTTACTTAGCCAGTAAATGGTGCGAATATCGTCAAGCATGATGGTATTCTATATGACTTGACGTAGGGATCCGCTAATCAACACAAACTTTTCGCTAGCCACCACTTATCCTCCGATATAATATACCCTGTATACTTCATTCACGCTATAATTGGCTACATGTAAATTTACGACATTAGAAATTATAGAAAGGCAAAATATCACACGAAGTTATTAAATTGTTTATAAGCAGACATGTGTTGGAGCGCTTTTTAGTTTTTGCTATAATATGGTTGACCCTCCGTAAGCGCTAATATGTCCAGGTACTGCTCATCTACTTTGGGTGGCAAAGTGCTTCCATTCGTTCCCAGCACAAAGAGCATTCAAATTTACCAATGCAGACATTGCGGAATTTGGAAGAGGTTGCCGACGTCTTCGTATGTTTTATCCTATTTCTGCGCTGTTACTGCATCGATGTACAGGCCCCAAACAATTTTCTACAATATCAAACTGCGATGGGTCTTGCAATTGATGCTCAAGAGCACCATAAAGACTCATGCGGCCATAATGGACAGACGAAATGAAGGCCTATGATACCGGTAGCACATATAGATGGTCAAGGATAACTTGCTGCCTGTACGAGGTTTCCTCCTCCAAAATCTTTGATCATGCGCTATATACATTCCCTAATTGATGTGGGTGCTACATACAATATCTCTTGCCGAGGAGGATATAACGAAAACCAGTGTGAAGCAAAACATCCATGGTGATGTAAGTGGTGTTCTATTTGTCGATGGCTTTGTGTCAAGATGAGAGTTCGTTTGATGCAAGCGAGATCAGTATTACGGTGCGCACCACCTATAACCTGTAACTTTTTTGGCGGCCAAATTTGAAAAAGAAAAAGTATTTTTTGCCGTTTCCGCAACCGAAAACACCTATTTCAACGCCCCCGTCGCACCGCAAACAGTATTCACGTCATTTGCACGTTTTAAACGTATATCTATGTTTTATTAGTCAACAATCACCAACATGTCTCGCCCCAACAAATGGCTACGGCACTTGCAGGTTATGAGGGCAATTGCTGCGCTCGCAGTGTTATCCAAAATTAATGTGATTTAAAAAAACCAAAAGGGCTTCGGTAAGAGACTATCACTGCGACCGGCGACCACATCATTTACCCAAGGTTCCATTGCAAATTGACCTTTGTCGAATTGTTCAGGGATGAATGAAATCCCATGCTCGGAAAGGCTTGAGCACATGGTCCTAAAATCCCTTGCATTCGTCTCTCAATACTATCCGCCGCCATGCTCGAATGTGCTTTCGGTACATGGACGTATATCGCGTGATCCTGACTAGGAAGGCCGCCGAATAAGTCGTAAATACTGTAAGTAATGTCGCATCGTAAGGTACCAATTCAGTTCTAACGGATGTGAAGGTTGAGCTACTGCCATTATCATTGCCATTTCGTGTTTTGCAATATATAAAAATAATTCCTGCGTCCTTACCTAGTAAATAGGGGATATAAACAGGCATAACAATGCCGTATTGGGTGAAACAGCCATATTTGCAAATTTAGGACTGCAAAATGGCTCTTTCACGCTAATTTGTCTACTATATGTAAGGCTGATATAAAATAAATTTCATGTAATAATGAAGAATAAGTCTTCGCGGGGATTTTTGGGGCGGCCAAATGTGGCTCGCCGCGAGCCATTTTCACAGAATTCTCCAAGCTTTAGGGTCCTATACCTTCGCGAAAAAGTTGTCAAGTTGATAATTGGGACTACTGAAATGAAGCTAGTATCGTGCTTAAGCCATCTATAGTGTATTATTTGTATTTCAAAAAGTATGGGGTAAAGAGTAGCTGAGTGACGAAGATCGAAAAATGGTACAGGTTATAGAAGACGTACACGATATTGTCTTCATTGTTTAGAATCTCTCTTTAGCCAATCATAATTCTTTATAATTTCGGGGTTAGTGGTTTAAAGCGAAAAGGGAGTGATGACTCGCAATTCCCTTATGGTGGTGTCGATTACACGTACCGGCTTCACCCCGTTACAGTGCTTCTAATTGGTCGTACAAATGAACTCTAAATATGCCCGATCGGCATCCCTCCATATCGAATCGTCTTCACATCGTACCCCCTCGATCAACCAGCGAAACACAAACCCCAGCCTCGTGCCGGGTCGACACCGTCACGTGCGCAACGGTACCCTCGAAGGCGCCCATTTTACACGCCCTTTTCGCTCGCTTTTGTCCAAGTCGACCCAATTTGTCACCCGCACCTCCTCGCCAACCAAATTGTCGAGTGACGCCACCTGCCAAAGATGGTCAAGTCGTACCTGCGCTACGAGCGCTCGTGCGCCTTCGGCGTGATCGCGTCCGTCGAGGGCAACGTCATCTACGACGCCAGCGGTCGCTTTGCCATTGCGCCGGCGCTCGAGGCGGCGGCCGTGTGGAACATCCGCCAGGGCAACAAAGTGCGGGACCTCGAGGCGTCCGAACGCATTGGCAGCGGTCAAGTGACTGCATTGGCGCTCAGTCCGGACGGCCTCAACGTGGCGTGTGGGTACTCTTCGGGCGTTGTCCGCGTGTTTACCTTTGCGGCGGGTGCGCTCGTTGTGACGCTGGACGGGCACAAGAGCGCTGTCGAGACGCTGACGTACCGCTCGGACGGCGCGGAACTGGCGTCCGGGTCTCGGGATACCGACGTGATTGTGTGGGACCTGGTGAGCCAGACAGGCCTGTTTCGGCTCAAGGGGCACAAGGACGCTGTGACGGCAGTGGCGTTCTTGACGCCCAGGACACTGGTCTCGAGTTCCAAGGACACGCTCGTGAAGGTCTGGGACTTGGACACGCAGCACTGTGTGCAGACGTGTGTGGGTCATCGGAATGAAGTGTGGTCGTTGGCTCGGAATGTCAAGGGAGATCGACTCGTGACGGGTGCATCGGACAACCAGCTGCGAGTGTGGAGCGTCCAGCATGATGATGGTGACGAGGGCGAGATTGTCAAGCTGCTGGGCTCTATCTATCGACAGAGCACTGGTCGCGTGTCGAGCGTGGCGTACAATGTGAAGGGCGACTTGGTGGGGGTACAAAGTGCAGGGAAGACGGTTGAGGTCTACCGCGTGCGGTCAGCAGACGAGATCAAGAAGAAACGCCAACGTCGTGAAAAGCGACAGCGTGAGAAGGCGAAAAAGAAGCAGCAGCAGCAGGTCGACGAAGGTGGAAAGAAGAGCAAGACACTGGCGCTGCATAAAGCTCAAGGAACGAAGGAGGAGGAGGAAGACGCAGCGGATAACTTGGCTACGGACGAACTGGAGCTGCTTTGTGTGGTGCGCTCGTCGCACCGTGTCAAGTCGTTTGCTTTCTCTCCAGACGTTGCAAAGGACGGCACCACGTCCTTGATGCTTGGATTGCAGAACAACAGTATTGAGACGTACACGCTCTCGCCAAGTGCGACAGCGCTTGAGAACCGATACGGAAAGTCGCACGTCCTTACGTTGAGTGGGCACCGATCGGATGTGCGCCAAGTGGCGATCAGCTCGGATGACCAGCTCATCTTGTCGCTTTCAGGTGCATCTGTGAAGATCTGGAACGCTCGCTCCCTGCAGTGCATTCGCACGTTGAGTGACGGTCTATCGCTTGCTCTGTCGGCGGTGTTTGCGCCAGGGAATATGCATGTTGTTGTGGGCACGAAGCTTGGTCAGCTGCTGCTCTTCGATCTGAACTCAGGCGAGTGCATCTGGAAAGACGAGGAAGCTCACAACGGTAGTGCTGTGTGGTCGATCGACGTACGTCCTGACGGACGTGGTATTGTTACTGGCGGTGCTGATCAGCGCGTGAATTTCTGGGACTTTGAGATGCTTCGTCTCGATAATGCGGAGCAGAACAGTGCGTTGCGTCTAGGTCTCTCGCATACTCGCATGCTCAAGATGTCGGATGACGTGTTGTGCGTCCGCTTTAGCAACACAAAGGACTCGAAGAAGTTGGTTGTCGCAGTGGCATTGCTGGACTGCACGGTCAAGGTGTTTCACAATGACTCGCTGAAGTTCTTTGTGAGCCTGTACGGCCACAAGCTGCCAGTCATGTCGATGGACATTTCCTCCGACGACGCTATGCTGGTGACGGCATCTGCGGACAAGAATGTGAAGTTGTGGGGGCTCGATTTTGGCGATTGTCACAAGTCCATCTTTGCACACCAGGACAGCATCATGTGCGTGCGTTTCGTCCACAAGACGCACTACTTCTTTACGGCATCGAAGGACAAGTCGATCTGCTACTGGGATGGCGATCATTTTGAGCGTATTCTCAAGATCGATGGCCAGCATTTTGGTGAGATTTGGGGTCTTGCAGTGAGCAGCGATGGCAGCTTTGTGGTGAGTTGTTCGCACGATCGCTCGCTGTGCAAGTACGTCCGCACGGAGGACCAGGTGTTTATTGAGGAGGAGAAGGAGAAAGAGATGGAGCAGCTTTTTGAGGACGAGCTGACATCCAGTAGCACCAGCAAGGGACCTGCTCTGGGCAAGGAAAAGGGTGAAGCTGGTGAGGAGGCCCATGACGCTTCAGCTTCTGCTGCTAAACGCACCATTGAGTCCGTTCGTGCGGGCGAGAGTCTGATGGAAGCCATTGATCTGGCTGAAGCCGAGTTGGAGGCGATAGCTGACTTTGCAAGAGTGCAGAAGAAGAAGTTAAGAGAGGCTGCCGCGGCTGCTAAAAAGCGCAAGCAGGAGAAGAAAAAGATTGTTGAAGAGGCGAAAGCGGGCGTCTTGCCTGCAACGGAAGACAAGAAAGAGGATGGGTGCGCAGAATCGAGCAAGCTGAAGAAGGCAAGTCGTCCGCCGAACATGCTGCTCCTGGGCTACTCGCCGCTCAAGTACGTGCTGCACACGCTGCGGCGTATCCGGCCGCATGACATGGAGGAGGCACTGATCGTGTTGCCGTTCGACTATGTGGAGCGTGTGATTCGGCTGCTGCTGCAGTTGATCTCGAGTCACTTGGAAGTGGAGTTTTGCTGTCGCATTTTGCTCTTTTTGCTCAAGCTCCACAACTCGGCCATTTGTGCGCGCGTGGGTCTGTTCAATGAGCTCGAGCTGTTGTGGCAGCGCTTGCGTTCGCAACTGGTGGAAAACAAGAGCCGCATTGGCTTCAATTTGGCTGGTCTCAAGTATTTAAAACGTATGGTTGACGAGGAACGGACGGGGTTTGTTCAGGAAATTGCTGCGACATCCACTAGCCGCTCGAAGAAGAAGCGTAAGGTTGTTGACGCGATACCAGCTGCAGTTTAGACTCGCGAGCGTTGTTTTCCAGGTGTGCTGTAAGCGATGCGACTGTATGCAGTGACAGTAAACGAGCAATAGAGCAAAACATGCTGTACAGAACCGTATCAACAACGACGCTTCACTTATTTTGCAGCTTACGGATCGCACGTATGTGCATAAGAACGGGAACGACGTCCGTAAACAAAAGGGTACACAAAATGGGCAACACGTCACCAATGATTTGAAAAGAGACCGTCGCTCGACGCTCGCACTTCGCTTATAGCAGTACATTTTGACGCGCATTCGGTCTCGTCGAATGAAGCGAGCAGCATCCAATAGTGTCGATGGGGTGTGGGACGCCACTGCGAAGCCTGTGAAGAAGCGCACGTTAGGCCGTACTGGTCCACTGGATACGGCTGCAACCGAAGCGTTCATTCGCGATGGATTTGTGCTGCTACCGGACGCTTTCTCGTCATCGACTGCACAAAAGGTTCGCGAGCTGATTTGGGAGCGACTGGCTCAGGACGATATCACAAAAGACCCGTCTACGTGGGTAGAGCGACACGGTATTGCAGGTCGGTCCTTTTACACGTGTAAGTATTGACGATGTGATTGTTCGTGTCATTGCTCACCGATGTCATGTCCCTCTTCTCCTGTCCGTTCTTCGTGCAAACCTAGAAAACTATACTGCACCACGGGACGGTCCAGTGTGGAATGATGTGGTGACACCGCGTCTGAAGCAGGCAATGGACCAGCTCTGTGGCCACGATCGATGGAGAGACGACTTTGGTCTGGGGTGGTGGATGATCACATTTCCAGACCAGACCGAGCCACCGTGGGCAGCTGCCGGCAAGTGGCACGTCGACGGCGCGTCGTACCAGCACCACATCGACAGTCGAGAGTCTGGTCTGTTGGCAATCTTCCTGTTTTCCGATATTGGACCGGGAGAGGGAGGTACAGCGCTATCAGTTGGGTCACATCAAGCTGTTGCGAGGTTGCTCGAGAAAAACGAGCCGCGGGGGATGAAAGGTAGTGCGGTGAGTTACCAAGCGAGACAGTTCGAGCGCCAAGAGGTGGTTGAAGTGAACGGCAAGGCTGGCGATGTGATGCTAGTGCACCCCTTTTTGCTGCATGCTCGGAGTAAGAACTTAGGACGCAAGGGAATGGAGTCGGTGCGTATCATGTGTAACCCGAACGTCGAGCTTCACCGCAAGATGAACCTAAGCCGAGCTGATGGGGACTATAGCCCCGTGGAACAGGCAATTGTCGATGCCCTGCAGGAATAAGCGATGGGGGCTCGTGATTGCTGAACGCCAATCAAGCTGCACTCTTTACACTGAAAGAGGGTCGTGTCAGTCGCATCAATTATTGTCTGGCTGACCTCTTTAGTAGTGTGGGGTGTGTGAAAGCCCGTTCATCACGTTCTAGCGAATGTGCAGCCACGCAGCTCCATTATTGGGCGTTGAAGGACTGGACAACGAGACGACGGCTTCTCGATTGATGAAAAGCAAAGCAATGTTCAAGGAGCGACTTTTGCCAAGGAATGTGTTGTCTGCGGTACCGTTGAACGTGTTTAGCCCTGCGTTTTGTACGTAGACCGAAAGCCGCCGGTACGATTAAACTACCATTCATGCTCATTTTCACGGAAGACTGCGTTCGTCTTTATCGCTTCCTTGTCCGTATCCGCGGCTGCAATAGCAAGATGTACAATAACTACGTATGAACCCGACGAAAATTTTTGCTCCGAGTTCGCAATCGACGACGTTAACGATCGTCTCTAGCTGCTTATCCGTGGCCGTGAAAAGGCCAATGCAATAAAAAAGCAGGATGAGCAAACGATGCCCGAGAAGGTGTGAGGATGTGTGGCCAAGCGACTTTGGTCAAGGATTGTAGGTAAATGGTCAAGCTAACGCAAGTGCTTTGTCAAGCTTCGTGCGTTGCTACTTGATTGCTCTGATCGCTCGAGAATGTACGCAAAGCGTTTTTGAAGGAAGATACGGTGGGTGTAAAGACAAAAAGATCTCAAGCAACCATGTGATGACCGCCAAAGAGGACTCGAGCTTATTCAAACAGACTCAAGGTTCTGACCCGCAAATGCACCTGGACTAGCTTGCAGACGTCACAGAACGGAAGCTGGTAGTGTGGAGCATACCAATGGTCGCTCCCTTTACAACGTATTGCTGGTCTCAGTCTCAGAATGGTATCCATGGAATTGATCTGCACCTCAATATGCTGCTTGTTGATGTCGAAGGAGTGCGAAGCTGACGCAAACACAATACAATGGTGGTGCATGCATGGATGTGCCAGGGTCTATAGCTTTCTAGCTATGCGCGGCATCTGACAAAAAGTCCACGATAAGGCGTATCACTGCAAGGGTTTCTACCACGATATGAAGTTCGGTTACGGAGTGGAAAAGTCATTATGCATACGAGGTATTGTTGCGGATCAGTCGACGTGTGAGTACTCTTGGCTCAACGATTGATCACGGATCAGCTGGACCACTATCGAAAAGTCATGGCTGGCGACCTTACTTTACGACAACAGATCGAACAACCTGTGACTTCAGCACTTGCACTCAATATGTGGTGGCACACATGCTGAAGGGTCTACGACCCATATAACACCAGCGCAATCAATAGAAACTAGTACGGTTCAAGATGGTCGTGCACGATAACGTGACGTAGCTAAATGCTAAGCTAAGGCATCCGATGGAAGCTTTTACGAGCAATGTTGTGCACATGCATTCCACAAGATGGGGTCTGCACAGATGAACAAGGCGATGTTCACAACAGGCACTGCTTTCAACAGACGAAAGATTTGACGCATTCCGACTGAACACATCACAAACTGTGGATGGTGTGGGTAAACGGGCAGGAAACTGGCTAGTGCAATATGATACGTTCGAGCAAAGGAGACAACGCGGCATTAAATGTGTGAAAGCTGGGACATCTGACCCCTGCTGGGAGAGCAGAGTAGCGTAGTGCACACCACTTGACACCCGACGACAGCTTCACATCCAAGCATTTGGAGGCTGCTGCTGCAAGCGAAGTGTACTTAGCGCTTTGCTTTGACGTCGATGGCAAAAATGGTGTGCCTGAGTATCGCCTGGTGATGAGAGAAGGGGTCGTGATGATGCTCGACCACGACCGCTGTTGGCGTGAGCACAATGGTCCACTTCGAATTCGTGAAGCGGTCGTGCCTGATCAGCGTGCAAAAAAGGTAGATGGTTGCGGATGCAAACCAGGTTCATCCACAAACGATCGAGCGGCGATAAATGCGTGGTCATGTAGGACTGGATGCATAAGGTTCATCCAAGATGGAACGATGATGAACAGATCGAGTGCGCATCATACAGGTTGCAACGAGGCTAATCAAATGAGGATAAACGTACGTGAAAGGTCCAGACAAGTTTGGTGGTCAAACAAAACGACAAGAGATACACAGTACTTCGTAGCTTGCTTTACACTCCAGAAGCGCTCCTCTTCTCCAGCTACCACTGCGGAGTGCTCGACATCCGAGACCAAAGAGTCCAGGGTATAGCAAAAAAGAGCAAAAGAGATGGCTCAATGTCGGAGATTCTGGATGTAATGAGAGTAGCAGAGAAGGTATGGATCTCAGGCAGTTCTTCTAGATGCCAACTAGAAGGAAACAAAATTGGCTTGATGACCTGGATGGTGACACTGACGGCGTATACGTGCAGCGAGATGACAAATATGTGTGGGTCAGATTCACAAATGGTGAGTCTGGCTAATACGGGTCGTGGACTGCACGAGTGCACATATCCACGGATTAGCTCGGGCACAGGCATGAGAGTCGTGCAGATCGTGCACATATATGCGGTAACAACGACTAAAGTGAGTGCTATGGATTCTGCTGTCGATACAGTCTTCCCGATATTTAGGGCTTCACGTATTCGGTGTTCAAGACCGAAATTGAAAATACTGACCATTGCTCGTTCGATACGCCATTTGAAGAAGAGGAGCAAGGACGTGACGATCATGCGGTCGCTAGAGTCAAGCAATAACCCTGTGGTATCGTGCCAAGCATTGGCTAGCCTATGTTGTTGATGTTTAACGAGCGCACTTGTGGGGTGAAGGTCGCAACCGGTGATGTTGGCGAAACGCGATCCCAGGCACAGGTGGAGCAGCTCCTGTAGTTACAAGAGTGATTGGTGGTAACGGACAAACAAGGTAACTAAAGATCATGTAAGGCTGACAGTTGGTACCACTTCTTTCGCTTATTCTAGCTTTGGATCCTGGAGGAAGAAGGAATAAAGCGGCCTAAAAACATCGGTACCGGGAAGTGATGAAGGTTTGATAGAAAAGTGCCTTTTTGCTATACAAGTTGTCGTTCGAATAGTTTACACAAATCCCTTCTATGTCTTCCACCTTGTAGAATGCTGGTCGTATAAGTGGTGAAGAAGGTTGTCGAAGCGCGACTCTGGGCCAGGCACATAACATTCAGTGAGTGGTAGGCTCTTTTGCGGCTGCTTTTTCATTTTCTCCTCGTCGTCGGCAATGTGATCATTAACGGACTACGAAGTACTTTAACGTTGGTCTTATGGTACAAGAAAGTAGAGGCTGGTGGCTTGCTTCACTCTTCTTTATTGACATTGTCGGCATTACCTCCTTCTTCGTCAGCATCTAATAGGCCAGCATCAACGCGAACGCGACAAGCGACGCTTTCTATCCTGGAATTCTACTCATGGTTTGCAAGTAACTACAGATCGCCACTCACCAGTGAAAGTATTTCTCCGCTCGATTCTGGCAGATGCTGCGACCTTAAATGACTAGACAAAGCCCAGATGGCAGTGCAACCAACCAGTTCATTAGTACTAGCAGTCGCCGACGTAGCAGCAGACGAGATTTAGGTCAGTGACTAGCTGAGGCATAAGATGGGTATTGAGCGAAAATTAGGAGACATAGTATCGCTGATTTGGTAGTCTTTTATCCAAAAGCGATTGTTCAAGGCCTAAAACTTGAGGAATTCCACTCATGGTTTCGCCCGATTCTATGAGGAGCTACGCACGACTCTCAACATGTATATTCTTAGTAGTAGCACATATCGTGAGACTTACGAACGCGCATGTCGCCTCTTAGACCTTACGCTCATCCCGATCACGCATGTTATGATCAACCGAAAAGGTGTTGTGCTTACAGGCCCTGGAGCGCAACGTGCCCTGACTCGCATCAAGGTAAAAAACGATGCTTTTGACCTCGTCTACAATGCCGGGTCAAAACCGATGCTTTTGACGTCGTCTACGACGCCGAGTTAACGATGTAGTCATCGCGAAGACGTCCTGTAGATGACTTTTATCGCACAATCGTGGGGCGATACGGCGACAGTAGATGAAGGCTAAAAACATGGACATCGATCAGCAAAGGGGGAAAGAGAAATATTTATGGAACCTACCGCAGACTTTACTTGGATGTCACGCGGTTGAAGACTGGCCAACATACCTGCATCTAGGATCTCCTTTAATCACCGTGGGCGCGACAAATGTTCAACATGCGTCGATCAAAGGTAGGGTAGAACTCGATAGACCAGAAACGATTAAGGTGAGATGTCGCTGATCGATGGAAAAAGTGAGTCGTATGATTTGATATGAAAGGCCCGGTGGCACCTAGAGATCGACATGAAAATTCGCACGATGCTATAATTGATATGGTGTCCGCCACTACGTTTGATATATCTGACATGCTATGCAAATCGGATGTCCATCTACCTGTTTACGACCGATGAGCCGCATCATCCAACCTGCATGGGCAGCCGCCACTATACAGATCAAGGTGCACATAATTATGTTCCCTTCATTGCTCTAGAGGATGCATAACATACATTATCGCCACTCATGCTATGCTTCATCTGAAGATGTATCTACGTTTACCACACGCTACATGTATATTCGGTTCTACGTGAGTCGCAAATACATGCTAAAAGTCGCAAACATATCCATTGGCGTTTAGTGATGTTCTTGAATCACAGCAACCAAAGAGCAAGCATCTCCTGAAACGCTAATCTTCCGATTTTATTGACTCTTTTTGCGATTGTTGTGGCACTTGCATTTGGTACACTATTTTCTCGTCCTGTTTTGTCTCTATTTAACCTCTCCTAGATCTCGTCTCTGGTCAGCTCCGGCTGAACTCCATCATTCTGTTCGATGTGACCACGTAGCTACAGAATCGACACATGGCTCCGAAAGCGCACCTTTTTAGCTTTCCTGTCAGGACCTGCTCCAGACAAACCTCCACCTTCTTGCCTCGTTCAGTCCATCTTTATTTCACAT